AAGATTTCCTTATTTTTTTTTAAATCAAAAAAACAGTGGAATAGATTTTTATTAAATTTCTAAAATAAACAATAAGTGATCCAACAGGACAACTGCCTTGCTGCCAAACAGGCTAGGCATCCATGAGGCCAGCAGAGGTTCTTTGGCTGGGAGACAGGGAGTGACCTGCGGTGAGTAGAACCAGCCAGCAGGCAGCCTGCTCCTCATGCAGGACCCAGGGCCCAGGAAGGAGAAGCCAGCCTCACTGTCTGTGGCAATGGCAGCTGTGCTGCCTGCTGAGGGACTTCAGGTATCCTCTGGGCCCTGTCAGATATCCCCTGGACATCTGGATCCTGGACAAGATAGGCTTTCTTTTACCAATTCAGATTAGAGCACTGGTATGGCTTGGTTCAGAATGCTCTTCACAGGGCTAGTAAAGACTGAGGTGGTGGCAGCTTGAAGAGGTAGGCCTAGTAGGAGGTCTTTAGGTCCCTGGGGATATGCCTGGGAACACAGTGGGCCCTGCTTCTCCTAGTCCTCTCTCTTCACATCCTGGTTGTGGGTGGAAGGCCCGGCTCTGCCACACCCACCCACCACGATATACCAACACGGGCCCAAAGCCATGGCCCAGACTGTAACCTCTGACACCAATAGCCCAGAGAAACCTCTCTAGAAGGTATCTGGGGATATGTGGAAAGCAAGGGCCAGTATTTCTCCCGTGACAGGACCCCAGCAGGCCCTGCCCACTCTCCCAGCTGCCACTCTGGGCCCTCACCTCTTTCCTCTTCAACCTTCCAGGGACAGCATGGTCTGAAGCTTATTTGAAGCCCATTCACTCCCAAGCCTTTCTTATGTGCCAACTTGCAAACCAGACACTAGGTGGACCCCACTGCCTGACCACCTTCACTGCGACGCCACGACAGTGAGGCCAGCAGAGTGGAGGCTGTCTTGGGCTTGGGCATCCCCTGCATCTCTGAAGGACAGGTTCTCCAAGTGGTCACTACAGACTCTGATGTGTCTAGCACTGCTCAGCCCTCCATCAGGAGCCTTCCTGCCAATGCCCTGTCCCCAGGCCCAGTACCATCTCCAGCCTCTGGCTTGGGCCACACTCATCTGATGGCCCAGCCCCTGGTCAGCCCTCCCTCTGCACCCTGATCTTATCCTACCATACAAATGGCAAAGGAAGCAGAGAGGGAAGGAGGAAGGAGCCCTGAGAGGAGGGAGGTGGGTGAGCTCAAAAGCCTACCTCCTAAGGTGGGCCTGTCCCATCCCAGCCAACCAGACACTTGGAACCCAGAGGTACCAAGACTGCTGGTTGAATGAAGGCACTTGTCTGCATAAAGGCTCTGGGCATCCATTTCCTGCACCTTAGGAGATGAGCAGACCCTCCCTACCCCTGGGTCCCAGCAAGCACTCGGCCTCCAGCTGCCCACCTTGGGTCTTGGCTCCTCCTGGTCGTCCATCCGCAGTCCACCAGTGTCACTAAGGGCAGGGCTTAGCAGGGGACATGAGCCCCGCTCAGCAGGGCCCAGAGCCACCTGAAAGGCAGGGCTCAGGCTCAGGGGGCTCTTCCGGCTGGAGGGAGGAGGCTGAGGACTGTCCTCGGTGAGGCCTAGAAACGAACGGGCGGGGTGGAGCAGAGATGAGAACACGAGTGGCGCTGGCTGAGAGCCCTGCTTCTCGGGGGCTCTGGCCTCCAAGCTGCTGCTCCTGACTAGGCAGATGTGCGGGGGCCTGTCACAGGCAGGTCCACATGTGGCATAAATAAAAGTGGCTGCTTTACCCAGTCTAAAAGAGATGGTGTGGGTCTCCAGGGGGCAGCGAGGAGGGGTATGGGGGCTCAAAGCCACGTCTCGGGTTTTTTTTCCCTTTGGGGTTTCTTTCAGCACCAAGACAGCAAAGCCGAAGGGGTGGGGAGGGGCGCTGTGCAGTGCAGGGCCTCAGCCTGAGACCTGTGGCAGCATGGCTGTTTTAATGCCACTTCCCGACCTCACTGAAAAACCAGATTGTACAAAATTGTTCATGATTTCTTTTTCTTAGATTATTGAACTAGGGACCTTGTGCTTGCCAGGTAGGCATTTATGCCACGGAGATATCTTCCTGGCCCATTAATGAAATTTTTTTTGCTTTCTAGAATTATGTCACAATAAATAATACTGATTTTTTTTCCCCTCCTTGAAACAATGGTTGTCTTTGAATAGAGAAGTCCTGAATTTTCAGCCTAATTTTAAGAAGGCTAAAGATGGGACGTATTTCATCATACGCTTTATAATAAAGAAATTTCCTTTTTTTTAAAAAAAAAAATCTCAAATATTTCTAACGTTTTTTCCTATGATAAACCAGCAATTAAGTTCTAAATTTTAAAGATATCTTTAAGAGAGAGTTTTATAGAAGAAATTTAAATACCACTTAAAAATTGCTAAAGACAGAAATTTACATTTCCAGGGCTGGGCATGGTGGCACACGCCTGTAATCCCAGCACTCTGGGAGGCTGAAGCAGGAGGGTCGTTGTGATTCAAGACCAGCCTGGCAAAGTGAACTCAAGGCCAGACTGAATTACACAGTGAGATTCTGTCTCAAAAGTTAAAAAAAAAAAAAAAAAAAAAAAGAAAAAAGAAATTTAGGTTTCCAGTAACATTGTTGTTTCTAACCATGATTATTAACTCAGCTTACAAAACACTGTAAGAAGTGACTGGATCTGAGTTCCGGCTGCAAATGCGCACACCCTGGGATCCCATTACCCCACCCACAGTGGGTTTTGGAGCCACATTCTCACATGAGAACCACATCATTGGAGTTAGGTGAAGTCACCTACGGTAACCAGCCTATACATCCAAGTCTTGGGTTAGTGGCCCTGGAACGCTTGAGTGTGCAGGCAGGTTAGTGCAGAGCTCCCTGCGAAGTGCAGCAGCAGCAGGGGTCCCTGGGTGGGTGCCCCCCACGGGAGCATGGCAGAGGACAGCAAGCCCCTATTTTCACATTGACAAATTCAGAGATCTGCAAAGACCTCTCCTGTTGTCAGGCTTTCACTTATTTGGGTTCTTCAGATGAACAGACATTTATAAGACCAGAACTTTCCTCTGGAGTGTTCGACAAGATACATTTAAAACAAGAGAGGGCTGGAGAGATGGCTCAGTGGTCTAAAGCACCTACTTGAAACAAGCTTGGCAAAGCACAGGGACCGCGGTTCAATCCTCCAGCACCACATGCCAGTCAGCCCCGCCCCCTGGTGGGCTGAGCTGGCCACACACACACACACAATAAATAAATGTAATAAATAAAAATAAATAAATATTTAAAAAAAAATAAAACAAGAGAAAACATTCATCCACATAAAAAACCCTAGACAATATTATGATGAAACTTTAACAACCAGATTAGAACTTGCTTTTATTCCACATTTAGTTAAAATATACTAAACCTTAGCATGACATAAAATTCTGGCTGCTCAGTTCTGGCCCCTGTGCTGTAGGGCATGTCCTGTGCTGAGAAGTATTGCTTCCAAAGATGTGGCGCTGTTTAGGGTTTGTGCTCCCAAATCCTCTTTGGCCTTAGTAATCCAAAAACTGGATGAGGCCCATTACTGGGGATCAACCCAGGACCTCACACTTGCCAAGAAGGTGCTGCCCTGGACCCACTGAACCCCATTTATGTGACTAAAATTCAGAGAAAAGTACGCAGCTACCAAAATATCTCTATTTTCTATAATGGTGCCGCTCAGTACTAGTAGCTCTGATGTTCTAAACTCAGTTATGAGAACCAAAGACTGCCACTTCATTAGAAGACGTGCATCTCAAGGCAAGCTCTAGTGGACAAGAGTTGCTGTTAGGTAGCAGAAGGTGACAGACGACATGGCTGGCCTTTCCCTGGGAAGCACTAGGGCACGGGGGTGGGGTGGGGTGGTGGTGGTGGTGGTGGTGAGCAAGCAGGCTATGGCCAAGGTGGTCAGCAGGGCCATGAGAGCAGAGGTGCTTCTCTCAGTACACAGCCCCTCACTAAACTCATTAAGGAAAGAAACTCTCCTTTGGAACAGACTGCTCATTTGGAAACAACTACTTGTGATTCAGTGGAGGTTAAAAGCCACTGTTTGCTATTATTGCAAACAGTTTCTATTTCGCCAAGAGCTGTCAATACAAAATTCAGTGAATAGATTACTAGTACCATGAAGTGCCACTAAACATGTAGGAAAACAACCTGGTAGCTACAGCAAACCTTATCAACCACACCTCCTTCAAGACACAGATCTACATAAGAAGACCAGTCTGACGGGCAGTGGCTCGGGACGGTGAAACAAAATCCGGGTCGAGATAAGTTTGTCAAGAAGCAGGAAACATGTGCTTTTCCTAAACATGGGGCTGCGCACTCTGTGCCTCTGGCTCCAGGTCCCTTTTGAACTTGACCCTGGAGTACTTTTAGCTGAAGCCACCAAAAGTACAAGGACTACATTTGGCAGGGTGCTCTGGACAGTGACAAGAGACAGCGTAGGCAGCATGATTCAGACTTGTCATTTTGGGCCCTGTGATAATACAAAGGGCTTTTTTTTTTGAGATAGGGTCACTCTATGTAGTTTAGTGTGATCTTGAACTATGCAGCTAAGGCAGTCCTCAACCTTGTGTTGATCCCGCTGCCTCAGCTTCCTGCATGCTAGGGTGGCAGGTGTGTGCCTACACACCTGGCCTGTGGTAATATTCAAGGTGCTTGCCAGCCTTGCCTGGCATCAGAGAACCCTTTCATTGGTAATGCATATGCAAATGCATGGCTAAAAAGACTAAATGCATGGCTAAAATGCATGTCCTAAGCTTTTTAAAAAATGTTAAGGGATCCATAAAGTATGTTCATCCTTTACTGATAATGGTGAAGAGCTAACAGAAAATTTGTAAAACAGATCCCCGATATCCCCTACATCAGCAATCAGAAAGCGTAAGGTCTGCTGAGTTACAGGAGTTCCTATTATAAAATTCTTTTAATTCAGTTTTCTTTTCTTTTTTTTTGCAGAACTGAGGATTGAACTCAAGCCCTTGCACTTGCCAGGGAAGCGCTTATTCCACTGAGCCATCTCCCCAACCCCTATAAAATTCTTTTAGACATATATATATGTGTA